TTGGGAAGCCTATTGCAGATTTTGGTCACTCTTCTTCCTTGCATCCAACCTGAAACCATCGTCTAATAGTTTCTGGCCTTTGCTCCTTGTCCTCCCCTGGGACACCCTAGTGAACAGTTTCTCTCTCAGCTCCCAATATTCACCCCTTACGTACTTATAGATGGCCAAATCCCCCCTCAGTCTTCTCTTTCCTGGGCTGAACAGTCCCAGATGCCTTAGTCTTTCCTCATAAGGTTTGTCCTCCAGGCCCTTCATCATCCTTGTGGCCCTTCTCTGGACCCTTTCAAGATGTTCCATGTCTTTGTTGAAGTGTGGTGCCCAGAACTGGACACAGTACTCCAGCTGGTGTCTCACCGATGCTGAATAGAGAGGAAGCAGCACTTCCTTAGCCCTGCTCGCAACGTATCGGCTAATGCATCCCAGTATACTATTAGCTCATACCCTCTGGTTCTCATTTCTTTTATTTCTGTCATGGAGATATGACTTAAGAGTGTCATCATTATTAAACTGTACCAAGACAATCACCCAAGCATGGGTGGGAGGTGATGTCATGCTGGAATGAATAGGTGCCGTCAGCCAGTTCTTTGATTTACAGACAACCACAAAGATGGATGCAGCTGCTGGCTCTGCTAATCTGATGCAAGTAAGTTTGGTCTCCTCCATTTCCAGTTTCTGTATTTTCATCAAATATGATTAATTACCTGCTGCTCATAGACACCTGGAACATTCCCCAACATTTTGGAATGGATTGGATGCAGCACACAAAAGCTACCACATTATGGACAGAGAGACAAATGCCATCAAATAGAGAGTAAAGCCACACTTTGTCCAGGCAAAAAGAACTGCGTTTTAATACAGACAAGTGCAGGGTGCTGCACCTGGGCAGTAGGAACCAGCAGCACACTTACACAATGGGGAACTCCCTACTCGAGAGCACGGAGGCAGAAAGAGATCTTGGAGTCATTATAGACTCCAAGATGAACATGGGCCGACAATGCGAGGTCATGGTTGGCAGGGCTAACCGGACCTTGTCATGCATCCACAGGTGCATCTCGAGTAGAGCCAAGGAGGTGATCCTCCCCCTCTACGCGACGCTGGTCAGGCCACAGCTGGAGTATTGTGTCCAGTTCTGTGCGCCCCATTTCAAGAGGGATGTGGACAACATGGAGAGGGTCCAGAGGAGGGCCACCCGCATGATCCGGGGACAACAGGGCAGACCCTACAGTGAGAGACTGCGGGACCTGAACCTATTCAGCCTCCACAAGAGAAGGCTGAGGGGGGACCTGGTGACCGTCTATAAACTCACTAGGGGGGACCAGAAGGGTTTGGGGGAGACGCTGTTTCCCCTAGCGCCCGCTGGCATAACAAGGAGTAATGGGCACAAGTTGATGGAGAGGAGGTATAGATTGGACATCCGCAAAAACTACTTCACAGTTAGGGCGGCTAGGAGCTGGAACCAACTTCCAAGGGAAGTGGTGCTGGCCCCTACCCTGGGGGTCTTTAAGAAGAGGCTGGATGCCTACCTGGCTGGACTCATTTGAGTCCCGTCTCTTTTTGGGGTTTTTTGTTGTTCTCCCGCCCTGGCGGGGGGTCGGGCTAGAAGATCTACTAGGTCCCTTCCGACCCTTAATCTATGAATCTATGAAACTATCGGGTCCTGGCTGGTTGATTCTGGCAAGTCCTTGAATGGTGATATCACACCCAGCTAAAATTTCAAGAGAACAGAGTTCCCTTTGGCAGTTTTCCTTACACCCCTTAATCATTTAACTACTCCTCATGTAGCACAGTCCACTAGTTCAATGTAAACAGAAGAAAGGAAGGCAGGCACCATTTTTTTCCTGACCCGTACATTATAAAAGGTTTAAAGCCTTTCAGAATCTGAGGGCTGCAAACCCTTGGAAAAGCCTTGAAGATTTTCAAAAGTTCACTAAGTCACAAAGCAGAGGTCCAAGAGAGAGAACCCAGAACTACAATCAGGCACACTGAAAAAGCAAAAGCAAAATTCCTGCTTAGATGCAGTCTCTGTCGTGGAAGGGCAGAGGGAGGTCCCCTAGGAGCGAAGACTTCAAGGGACAGGCTTTGTATCTCACCAGGAGCTCAGACTGGACCCCGCTGCAGCCTCTCTCTTCCAACAGTGTTAACCCAACAGGCCCAACTGAATCTGGCACCTACAAGAAAATCCCTTCCAAGAGCCCATTAAAGTGAACCAAAGCTGCTCTTTCCAAAATAAAGTGCCTTTTTCCTCCGAAAGGCAAACAACAATCACAGAGAAGGGCTAAAACAACTTAAAGCTTACGATTTTCCTCAAAGTCTGGCAATCCTAACTGCCTCAGATCCATCCCACAGAGCTTGACTCACTTCATCCAATTGCTACAAGCAATCCCTTGACAACAGAAATCCCTTCCCCGTCAAGGGCAAGAGAGTTTATTTCAGCTGCTTTGTGCCTTTTTGAGCTCCGGCCCTCAGCTCTGCCAATCAAACTGGGTAATTTTAGCTGATGCTTGGATGCATTTTCCCAATAAATGACATACCACTGCTCTCAACACTCTTGTCTTACCTGAAGTGCCTTACCTCTGGGCATTATCATATTTTCTCATATACAACATAAGTTAGGGGTTTTTTTCCAAAAACAGCTGCTGGAAATGGGAGTGCACCTTATAATTGAGGCAATATGGTAACACCAGTTCCTGCTGCTTAAGCTTCTGCTAGGCAAATGCAAAAATAACTTTGTGCATGATCCACAGGGAGCAGAACAATGAGCTGGCTCAGCTCCCTCGCTGCTGCTGCTCAGTTAGTTACTACAAGGAAAGATCTTTTTTTGTTTTCGTTCTGCCTTTCAAAAACAAAGTGCACATCTTATTCTAGGGTGCCCTGGATGTGCGAAAATACGGCACTTTATTACCTGCTCGTTTGTCTTAACAGGTTCTTCTGACTGAACTCCACCCATTCAGATAGCCCATCCTGACCTCTCTCTACCACCAGAAGCTGTGGCCTGCTGCTCCCAAACTGCCACAACGTGCTTCTGCTGGTTCTGCACAGCTCCAGTCAACAATCTGAGCCACTAGAGTATGTGACAGGCGTTTGGAAAAGGAGCCAGCTGCCAAATGGACTGTGGCAACTGTCTAGACACAGGAGCATCTACATGCAGCTTTAGCTGGTAGGACAAGATGCCTTTCTTCAATCAGCAGAGGCACAGCAAAAGCTGGTGGTGTAGGCTAAGGTACAGCGAGCGAGCAAGCTGAGGCATACAGTACTTGTAACAGATCCACATTCTTCACAGATTTTCCAAAGGATCCTGGCAGCTTTAACCTTTTGTTTAAAACTGTTAGGAGCAGCTCTCTAGACAGGAGTCCTACTCATTGGCTTGTTACTCCTAAGAAAGAAAACAGTATCTTAAAGCCTGGACAACAAGATTTTTTGCATTTGAGAGTCCTAATAGATGTGGCTGCACCTGTACTTGCTCCATTAAAAGCTGTTGTATAGACACAGCTAAGATGGGCTTTGGTTTTTCTGCCACTCTTGTGCTGAACAAGTCTGTGATGTCACTAGTCTCTTAGCAACTATGTACACCCAATGTTTCCATGAACAGCCCTAGCCCTCTTTCCAATATGACAAAACATAAAGGAGGAAAAGTGATTACGGATCAAACAGCATGGCAGGTTTTGCAACTCCAAATGTACACAAAAATTACAGCTGCCTGAATAATCAGACTGCTACAAGTCTTCTTTCATTTAAAAGAAAAATGGAAGGAAATTCAGTGACAACTTGGTTACTACAGAGTTAAAATTGCCCACTGGCATCAGACCTCTGGCAAATGGTGAGTTTGGCAAAGCTCAAATTTCTGAACCCTAGGAAATAAGAGCTAAAACAAACAGCCACATACCTTTACCTCTGTGCTCTTTGAGCAATGCCCTGAAACACATACTTACATTCTTCTGTTAAAAGCATACTGAAAAAAAGCTGTCCTACAGAAACATTTAGTAGGGCTGTGTGAAGTTTTGGTCCCTGATTTGATCTGGTGGAAATTCAGTGGCCGAATCTGCAAATCCAATTAGAATCAGACAACCCTTTAATCTCTCCAAATCGATTCAGAGAGATTTGGAAAGATTCAGAGATTTGGACACAGAGACAGGTGTAAACATTTTTTCTACATACCTCTAAGTAGCAGGGGCTTGCGAGTGCTGAGATATTGGGGCGCATGGAGTGTGAGCTGAATCAACGAATAGAATCACTGTCCCTGATTTGGGCCGAATCCGAATTGAATAGGGCCCACTTCGTACACCCCTAACATTTAGCTCACTCCACAGGAAGAAGAATTAGCTGCTGCCATTGCCCACTGCAAGGTGACTCCTGCACCCCACTACTGACACAACCTATATGACACAAAATCAAACTGAGACCTTCCGGAAGGACCTCTTTGGCTTTAATCACACCAACTGGGATCACAGAGGTGTTCAGCTCTGTTAGTCTGAAGTCAGGCAGAGTGGCACCTTAGAGACTACCTGGTTCAGACAGGCATGACCTTTGCTAAGCAAAAACCTACTTGCTTAGCATCTGACAAAGAAGGTTGTCGCCTGCCAAAGCTCATGCCTCTCTGAACCTACTTTTGGACCAACTGAGGAAGAGGAGTGCACAAAGCTCTGGCCCTTTTAGACTGCCTGCATCATAACCACAATCCTGTTGAGCTATTCCAATTAATCCCTCCAATCATTCAACAGAGCCATAGGTAATATAAAAATACAGCTGAAATGATCTCAAATAATTGCCACTGGCTATGGCCAGCTTTCAGAGTGAAGATCAAGTGACCAATAAAGAAAAATAACTGTAGATATTAACGGTTGGAGTTTTAAGTTGTGCTGATCTTAACATACTGTGGGGGGAGGGAAAGAAAAGGGGGGAAGCACAAGATACCACAGGACAAACTTCAGTCTACATTAACAAATGTGTTTGTCATTGAAGTAAGCACAGGCCAGGGTTGGAGCACAGCACCTCTTTCCTACCTCCATCTCTGTGTTGTGCGCGTGCACCTTCTGCACCATTTCTTCTGCCTCGCGCATTCGGCGGCTCAGCTGCGGTGAATGTTCCGACGGGGTCAGCTCGCTGTCGTAGGACTCCAAAATCGCTCTCATTCCATCACGCTCCTGTTAAAAAATGGGAGAAACAGCCCAGTTAGAGCTTCTACTAGACCCAGGTGGTAGCAGCTTTGAACATCCAAAGTTTACAATTTTTCACTACTGCTGACTAAAGTGATGGAAAACACCCTTTCTCCCTAAAAATGTCTATTTCCTACTGCTCACTTGTATGTACAGATCTTATACCCACAAAAACTGAAAGCTCTAATAAAATCACATTGCTGTAAGAGTAGAAAAAAATTATTGCTGTACGTACACATATACATTCCTTAAGGAAGGCACCAGGCATACACTACCATCCCTGCCTTTTGCCAACAACAAGTGAAGACAGAGCTCTCAAGCAGAAATTATTTCCAGGAGACACCGTTCAGTGTCACTATGGCTGTCTTGAGAAGAAGCAGTGAGTTATTCTGAAGCTGAATCAGGGGATCTTACACCATGAACAGTGAGGTTCAAATGACTGCAAAACTCTTCTAAGGAATAGTGCTCCTGTTCTTTAATCGGAAGGAGGGGGGGGGTGAATTCCCTAAAGTGATAGCATCACCCTTTCTTTGCTTAAGAGAACTGGGGCTCACAGCAATATTCTGACTTTTTCTTTTTTTTTTTTAGCTTTGGATTGAATTAGTCTGTCAAGTCAAATCAGTCTCGAGGCGGCTGCAACTGTTGGCGCACCTTAGATCTGTGCATCAGTGGCAATTCTTCGGACAAATTGACCTGACTGGCGCCCATCTCCTCTCCAGGTATAGATGGCCATTGGCTCACAGGGAGCTCATCCACCCTTTGACAGGTCTCGTTTTTAGTCCTGCTGGGTGTCCAAGCACCCTCCTCACCCAGGCTAGCCCAGGCTGGGGTGCCAGTTTAGTCGCCAACAACCTGACCATGGAATAGGCTGTACTGGTTTACATGGTACCAGATAGCAGAGCAGATCAAGAGAGGCCTGGCCTGCAGATAAATTAGACTGTACCAAATAGCCAATGTTTTAAACAAAATCCCCTGGAAACAAATCTGCTCTTCAAGGCCTCTGACACTTCACTTGTTACACAAACAGAGCTGAACACTGGCATATTCTGTGCTCGTCATAAATCTCTCCCCCAGAATGGTGTGCATGTAAAAATGTGTTTGCCTACAGCCACTCTTTCTCTCCTTGCTGGCAGTTATAAGAAATGGGTCTTGTATAAGTGGGACCCTATTTAATTCTTTCCCAATTTACATAAAATCCACTCTCCTGATACACAAGCTTCATCACAGACCAAAGGAAACTTCCACTGGTAGCTCTCTGTTAAAATATTGACCGTACATCGGCAACCCCAGACACCCGTGCTGCCTGCTTCTGAGATATTGATGGAGAGAAGTGAGGGCAACGTGCTGAATGGCAATGCAAAAGGTCAGGCACGTTTAACAAGAGATTCCTGTTTACACTGAGATATGCATATAGAGATTAGCTGGCTGATGAGGTATCTGATCACCTTTAATCATGTTGGGGAACTTAGATGCTGGGGAATTCAGATTAGAGAGCAGAGCGAGAAAAATAAGCAAGATCCATCGTGGGGGGGCGGGTAAAAAAAAATAAAAATCAAAGAGCACACATTCTTAGGAGGATCTTCTGCATGGCCTACTCCTCCCTTTGCATATTCACCCTATCAGAGACTAAGTGCAGACATTCAGGGAGAGTAGGGGGACTTTAGACCGCATTCACAATGGCCACCTGATCTAAAGTAAGGGGAATGGTGGGGATAGCGGGGGGATGAGGGGAGGCAAGCAGGCTGGGTGTAGGGGAGAACTGAGGGTCTGTGCAGGGAATGGGGGTCAAGCAGGATCTGCAAGAGTGATCATGGGGGGGACAGGCAGGA